CTACCTGGTGTGGGTCAGCGTGGCTTGGTGCCACCTGGTGTGGATGAGCGTGGGTTGGTGCCCTCTGGGATGGCTCAGCGTGCTGTAGTACCACCAGGTGTGGATCAGCGTGGCTTGGTGGCACCTGGTTTGGATCAGCGTGGCTTCGTGCCTCGTGGCATGGTAAAGCGTGCTGTAGTACCATCTGGTGTGGGTCAGCGTGGCTTAGTGCTACCCGGTGTGGATCAGCGTGGCTTGGTGCCACCTGATGTTGATCAGCATGGCTTGGTGCCTCCTGTCATGGATCAGCGTGCTGTAGTACCACCTGGTGTGGATCAGCGTGGCTTGTTTCCACCTGATGTGGATCAACGTGGGTTGGTGCCCCCTGGCATGGATCAGCTTGCAGTAGTACCACCAGGTATGGATCAGCGTGGCTTGGTGCCACCTGGTGTGGATCAACGTGAGTTGGTGCCCCCTGTCATGGACCAGCGTACTTTAGTACCACCAGGTGTGGATCAGCGTAGCTTGGTGCCACATGATGTAGATCAGCGTGGTTTGTTGCCCCCTGGCATGGACCAGCTGGCAGTAGTACCACCAGGTGTGGATCAGAGTGGCTTGGTGCCACCTGGTGTGGATCAGCGTGGGTTGGTACCCCCTGGCATGGATCAACGTGCTGTAGAACCACCTGGTATAGATCAGCCAGGCTTGGTGCCACCTGGCATGGACCAACTTGCTGGAGTACCACCTAGAATGGATCAGCGTGGCTTGGTGCCACGTGGCATGGATCAGCATGGGTTAGTGCCTCCTGGCGTGGATCAGCGTGTGTTGGTGCCCCCTGGCATGGATCAGCGTGGGTTGGTGCCTCCTGGTGTAGATCAACGTCGCTTGGTTCCACGTGGTGTGGATCAGCGTTCTGTAGTACCACCTGGCATGTATCCACGTGGGTTGGTGCCCCCTGGCATGGATCAGCGTGGTTTGGTGCCACGTAGCATGGATCAGCATGGGTTGGTGCCACGTGGCATAGATCAACATGCTGTAATACCTCCTGGCATGTATCCACGTGGGTGGGTGCCCCCTGGCATGGATCAGCATGGTATATTACCACCTAGTGTGGATCAGCGTGCTGTATTACTACCATCTGGTGTGGATCAGCGTGGCATGGTGCTCCCTGGCATGGATCAGGGTGCTTTAATACTACCTGGCATGGATCAACGTGGGTTGGTACCCCCTGGCATGGATCAACGTGCTGTAGTACTATCTGGTGTAGATCAGCGTGGCTTGGTCCCACCTGGTATGGATCAACGTGCAGTAGTACCACCTGGTGTTGGTCAGCATGGCTTGGTGACACCTGGCGTGGATCAGGGTGCTGTAGTGCCTCCTGGTGTGGATCAGGGTGCTGTAGCGCCCCCCAGAGAGTATAGGGGTGCTACAGCACCCCCTGGTGCAGATCAGGGTGCTATAGCACCCCCTGATGTGGATCAGCATGGCCTGGTACCACCTGGCGTGGGTCAGCGTGGCTTGGTGCAACCTGGGATGGTTCAGCATGGCTTTGTGCCATATGGTATGGATCAACGTGGTTTGGTCCAGCTTGGTACAGGGCAGCCTGGAATGGGTCAGCGTGTTTTGTTACAACCTAGTACAGGGCCACGTGGCTTGGTTCAACCTGGTGCATACATGTCTGGCTTAGCTCAACCTGGTTTGGTCCAACCTGATGCTTATCTACCTGGTGTTTTCCAACCTGGTGCATATCCTGGCAGTTTGGCTCAAGCTGGTACATATCCTGGTGGTTTGGCTCAAGCTGGTGCATATCCTGGCAGTTTGGCCCAAGCTAGTGCATATCCACATGGTGTGGTGCAACCTAGAATGGATCAACGTGGTTTGAGACAACCCAGTGCTGACTGGCAAGGCTTGATGGCATCAGGCACAGAACCTCGTGGCTTTCCAACATTCCAGAGAGATCCTCAGGGTTTGAGATCACTTCGCCCATATCCACCTGGTGTGGGACCTTCTGGCCGAAAGCCACGTGGCCAGGTTTCATCACTGTTACCCAGTCGAGGTTTGGCATCACCAATTATAGACCAGAGGGGTTTGGCACCACCAGAAACCTATCAGCAAAGTTTGATGCATCCTGGCCTAGAGCAGCAGGACCAAGCCCCAGATCAACAGCTTTCGGTATCATCTGGGCCAGATCAGCCAGAACAGGTGTACCCAAGTGCAGTTCAGCCAGATAGAGCATATTCTGTCTCTGCCTCTGGTGGTCCAGATTATGAGGGTATTGGTCCACATGATCAGGAATATTTGGATCTACGCAGAACAAGTGATTTACAGCAACCTAGGCGACCTGCCCAGGCCGCCTCTGTCCAAGAAGTTCCCTCTTCGGTGAGTCAAGAAGACTCCGAGAGGAGTGAGGTCCAGAGTGAGCGACATGATTCACTGGAGAAACTGGCCCCCAACTTCCCCATAGCGGTGGAAACGTTTCGTCTGATGGGAGAGATGATCGGTCTCTATGTGGAGCTAAAGGAGAGAATAAAGGATCTGGATGAGGAGAAAGCTGGCCAGACTGACTTGGAGAAGATAGAGTACCTACTCGCACAGATGGGTGGGTACCACTTGTGGGGTGTGGGGGAGGAGAGGGCACTGTTTTCACTCTAAGTCGGTGGCATCCTTTCCTTCCCCTGGCCACAACTACAGGCGTAGCGTCCCTCTCAGACCTTCTGGGCTCCACAGGCCTTCAGGGTCCAAATGAACAGGTCGGGCAAAGGCTGGGCCAGGCCAGCGGGACTGATGGGGCCTAGGAGAGGGATGAAGAGTGCCTCTTCTGCCTCTGTCAGTCCTCCTGGAGAGCAGCTGGGGGAGGTGTCGGGAGGGTCGGGAGAGAATGCTGAGGACTGAACTTAACACTTGCTGAGGGCTGAGGGTGTTGCTAAGTAGAAGAGTGCTTGTCTGGCTTATGCCAGGCTCTGGGTTCCATCTCCAGCACAGGAGGAAAAATGGTCCAATCCCAAGCTTAGGTTCCAGGGAGTAATTAAGATATTAGTTGTGGGTCAGTGGGCGGGTTTCTATGGGTGCAAGACAACCCTCTTCCTTCTTTCCTCATCTCCTCGCCCCAGTCACCAGGGAAGGCAGTGTTCTCTGGGGTCCTTCATTTTGTGGGGTTGGAAAGAGAGTGGGAGCCCACTGGGAATCTAACCCTTTTGACATTAAGGTCTCCATTTTTCCTAGTCCAAAAAACCATACCCCCTGACCTGCAGGAACAGCTGAAAAGCATAAAGACCTTGGCCAAAGAAGTTCGGCAGGAAAGAGCCCAAGTATGTAAGGGAGAGTGAACCTCCTTTGCCTTCTGGATGGGGTGGGTCAGAGCCCTTGTGCTTTGTGCTTGAGGGTGACAGAGTCCTTTTTCAGATCTGATTGGACCTTTGCCATCCCTCAGGTAGAAAGTGCACCCTGGGTGTTACTGTGTTTGTTTCCTGACCCTCAAAGCTATTAAGATACAGCTGAGTTAAGCAGGCTTGGCACTTTCTGGGGACAGAGGTCATTGCAAGGGGCTGCTAGGAATTCAGCATTCTCAATGCCAACGACTACATCCAGGAGGTAGATGGGTGGCTGGATGTCCAGAGAGGACCTAGATTTCATTAGGTAAAGATTAGAGAATTGAGAAGAGTGTGTGGGGGCTGCGGGATCACATGCAGGAAAGTGGGGGACAGGCCTACCTGACCTTCCCCTTCCGTTGGGTTTGCAGCTGAACAAGCTACAAAGAATCCTGGAGGGTGACAGTGACCGGGAAGCAGGGAAGGAGCTGAAGGCTAGTCAGCTGAGCCTGCAGCTGGGCATCATCAGGTGAGATGCCCCTACCCTGTGCACTGCAGTTCTGGTGTCCTGTGTTCCCAAGCCAGAAGGTGGTGGCAGCCTTCACTTTTCCTCCTGCTCTGACCTGACTGCTGTCTTTGACCTGGACCATACCTAGTCTTCAGGTTGCCAGACCTAGTTCAAGGAACTGGTACAAGTTCCCCAGGTTCCTAAAACAGCTCATTAGCAGGTCTAAGAAGAGCGCAAGGCTCTTTACACTGTCCCCAGGGAGATGCAGCTCAAGCTCCTCAGAGCTCCTCTTTGCAGGGCCCTGTATCACCGCCTTGAAGCCTTAGGCCAACACATGGGGCAGCCCCTGGAAAGAAGTAGGACCTGGGGCTCCCTAGACAGAGCCAGCCTCCTCTCATCCCCTGCGACCGGGGTGGCCAGGCTCGGTACTACTGGGCTCCGTTCTCTGGGCTGGCCCTGGAACTAGGTGGTCTCTTATGTATCCAGAGTCACCGTGGCTGACATTGAGAAGGAGCTGTCTGAGCTGCGGGAGAGTCAGGAACGAGGCAAGGCTGCCATGGAGAACTCCGTCTCGGAAGCCTCGCTTTACCTGCAGGACCAGGTGAGGAACTGGTGCTCCTCAGCTCCAGGGACCATGCACCCTTCTCAGAGTTGGCTATGGACAGTGGACAGGCCTGCCTTCTCACTCCTCAGAGACCAAGTTTTCAGGTCCCCCTTAGCATGTGTGGGGAGGTGACTGTGTCTAGGATTCAGCCTCCTCCCAATGCAAAACCGAAATGGGCCACAGGTGCACAGGCACGGGCATCCTGGAGCAAGGTGATGACGTGCTATACACCTCCCACTCATCTACTTTCCCTGTCCTTCTTTCATTATATAATTTACATATTATAAAATTGTCCTTTTAAAGTGAACAAGACAGTCGGGCACCGTAGCACATACCTCTAATACCTGGGCTCAGGAGGCTGAGGCAGGAAGGTCACAGGCTGGAGGCCAGTCTCAGCAGTTTAGCAAGAGCCTTAGAAACTTAGCAAGACCCTGTCTTAAAACTTGAAAAAATGGAGGAGCACCCCGGGGTTCCAGTACCAAAATAATAATGATAATAAAGTGAACCAGGTATTTTGTAATAACTCACAAGTTGTGCAACCTTGACAACAACCCAATTCCAAGATGTTTCATCACTGCCTAAAGAGGCTTTAATCCTGTTAGCAGTTTCTCTCCCACACCCCATGACCCCCCGACACAAGCCCCAGGCCCTGACAACCATTCTTCTGCTTTCTGTCTTTTGGAAGTGTCTTCTTTTGGACATTCATTTCATAGAAACAGAATCTTGTGATAAATGGTCTTTTGCATCTGGCTTCTTTTTCTGAGTAGTGTTTTCAAGATCCATCCATGTTGCAGCACATATCAGTCCTTCACTCTTTATTACTCAGGACAATTTCACTTTGTGGCTATACAGCAGTTTATCTGTTCATCAGTTGAAGAACATTTGAGTTGTTTCCATCTTTTGGCAATTAGAACTAATGCTGCCATGAACATTCCTGTACAAGTTTTTAATGTGGAGATGTTCTAATTTCTCTTAGGAACATACCAAGAGTGGGATTGCTGGGTCATATGACAACTTTAATTATCATTTGAGGGACTGCCAGACTGTTTTCCAAAGTGGCCACAACATCTGACATTCCTCCTAGCAATGTTGAGAGGGTTCCACTTTCTCCCTGTCCTCACCAACACTTGTTATTTTCTTTCTTTTAATTTGAGCCATCCTAGAGAGTGTGAAGTGGTATCTCATTATGGTTTTGACTTACATTTTCTTGATGACTAATCATGCAGAGCACCTTAGCATGTGCTTTTTGACAATTGTATGCCTTGTTTTTTATCGATAAGGGATATAAATGTCTACTCAAATCCTTAGTCCATTTTTACATTGAATAATTTATCTTATTATTGTTGAGTTCCACGAGTTCTTTATATATTCTGGATACCAGGCTTATCTGGTATAGACTTGCAAACATTTTCTCCCACTCTGCAAGCTGTCTTTTCTTTTCTTTTCTTTTTTGTGGTGTTAGGGATGGAACCCAGGCCAGGCAAGAGCTCTCCCACCAAGCTACAACCCAGCCTCTCACTTTCTCAATAGTGAGTGTCTAGCTTTGAATCTTTTTTTTTTTTTTTAAGAAACAGAGAGAGAGAGAGAGAGAGAGAGAGACAGAGAGAGAGAGGTTTTTTAAAATATTTATTTTTTAGTTTTTGGTGGACACAACATCCTCAAGAATCATAAGCCTGTCACTTATGTGATGGTCTGGAGCTCATATTTTTATCTCAACTAACTCTCTCTACAATTCTATTTTGTGTGCTATTA